CTCCCCCTGTCCGTTCATCCAGCCATCCCTTCATCCACCCATTCGTCCACCCATCCACCCATCTACCCATTCACTCATTCATCCTTCCATTCATCCATGCCTCCATCCATCCACATGTCCATTCACTAATCCATCCACCCATCTCATCCATCCACCCACTGACCCATTCATCCCTTCTTCCTCCCTCCCTCCCATCCAGTCCTCCCTCCCTCCCTCCATTCACCCATCCATCCATCCATCCCTCCATCTCTCCATTCATCCATCCATCCCTCAATCCCTCCATCCCTCCATCCCTCCATCCATTCATCCATCTCTCCATTCATCCATCCATCCATTCATCCATCTCTCCATCCATCCATCCATCCATCCATCCCTCCCTCCCTCCATCCATCTCTCCATCCATCCATCCCTCCCTCCATCCATCCCTCCATCCATCCATCCATCCATCTCTCCATTCATCCATCCATCCATCCATCCATCCATCCATCTCCCCATCCCTCCATCCCTCCATCCATCCCCCCATCCATCCCTCCATCCATCCATCCATTCATCCATCTCTCCATCCATCCATCCATCCATCTCTCCATCCATCCATCCATCCCTCCCTCCCTCCATCCATCCCTCCATCCATCCATCCATCTCTCCATTCATCCATCCCTCCATCCCTCCATTCACCCATCCATCCATCCATTCATCCATCCATTCCTCCATCCATCCACCCATCCATCCATCCATCCCTCCATTCACCCATTCATCCATCCAACCATCTGTCCATCCATCCACTTACCCACTGACCCATTCATCCACCCTTTCCTCCCTCCATTCATCCACCCACCCATCCATCCATTCATCCCAACCATCCATCCACTCACCCACTGAAAGCAAATTTATTGAGTGCATCTGCTGTGAGGGTGGCCATGGGGGACCCACATGGGCTGCTGCCTTTGAAGCATTCAGAGCAGGAAGGCCAGCAAGGGTCACACAGTGTAGCCAAGGTGGTGAGGACAGTGTTCAGTGAAGGGATGTGGCACCTAGACCAAGTCTTGAGGAGCAAGTACCCCCAGATGTCTGGACTCCTGAAGCATAGCTCTCCCCTGATGGCCCTGGCCCCGGGCTGCCCTTTCCCCAACGGAGCATCCCAATGCCTGCCTGCCCAGCAGAGGCCTGGCCTGGTTTCGGCCTCTATCAACCCCTCACCTGAGAACAAACACTCTGTGTGCTCACCTGCTCGCCCCTCACACAGCGTGGCCCCAATTTCCCACCTTTCACCCTTGCAGCCTTGGGAGGTGATACGCACACTTCCCTCCAGGGGTCTCAGTACCTTTGGAGGCCCAGAAAGTGGGCATGCTTGGGGTCTGAGTCTGCCCTGGGAGGTGGGCATTTGCCTCCCTTGAATCCTCAGATGCTGCCTGTCAGGGTGCAGGCCTGGGCCTTGCCACTCTGTCCCTGTGCGGGGCTGCGGCTGGGGCTGGGTCCTCCTTGGTGCCCAGAGGACCGAGAACCGTGGCTTCTCTGGGTGTGCTCTCCATCTGCTCACCAAGGCAGGCCAGAGCCATGGCGCTAGGGGTGGGTGCCAGCCCCCACCTCCCTGGTTAAGCCCAGTTGGCTGGGCCTGGGCAGCCTGGTGCTGGCAGGGTGGGCAGTGACAGGGTGGCTCAGGCCTGAAGAATGGGTGTGGGCCAGCCTGACCTCCTGTGCCCTGAGTCGCTGGTCTTATGACAGAGGCACAAGATGTCCAGTGACTCAGTTCCCCCTTCTGTAATGTGGGCTGATAATCAGAACTTCCACATGGGGGGGATCACGGGAAAATGGCCCCAGATGACACGTGGCTGAGGAGTGGGTGGCCTGCACTTGCTGAAGGCCGACATTTCAGTGACCACTGAACTGAAATGGACCAACACAGGCCGTGTGGGGAGGGGCTGCAGCGGGGGGTGCAGGGAGCTGCGGTGTGGGTGGGTGGGGTGCTCTCCGGGAAACCAGGCTCCGTGCTGGTCTCCCACCCCCGCGGGAGGGTTTGGTCACACGGGGAGCACTGGTGTTCTGCAGGGAAACAGCCAGCGGGCCGTGGGGTTACTTTAGGGAGCTGGCTCATGCGGGGTGGGGGCCGCCGGCTGGAGACCCTGGAGGCCAGCAGGAGGCCGCTCGCCGCGTTCCATGGAGGACATCCGTCTCTTCCTCGAGGCCCTCTGCGGATTGTGAGGCCCGCCCTCCTCACCAGGGTCACATTTGAGAAATCCCTTCACAGCAGCATCCAGCCCAGCGCCCAGCCGGAGACGGGAGCCGTGGCCCGCCAGGCAGACTCACAGCCACTGCCCAAGCCACGGGTGAGCCACTGGACGGGGCGGAGGACGCGCCTGCTGTCTTCTGCTCCCCCAGCAGCGCAGAGGTTCCCTCTGCTCCCCTCCCTCCGCAGCCTCCTCTTCCTCCTCCCCTTCCTCCTTCTCCTTCTCCTTTCCCTTCTCCCTCCTCCTTGGGTGGCTCTGACTCCTGAATTAGCCGGGTACCCCTCACCGGGGCTTCCTGGTGAGTCAGGTTTGTGGATACACAGTGGGGAGGGGGCGTCACTCCAGGCGCGGTGTGACGTCCGTGCTGCCTCCTCCCTGCAGTCACGACTGAATTCCGTGCTGGTCTTGGCGACAGCGTCTCGTCAGGGTAAACACGCCGGGTGTGGGTGGGGCGGGGAGAGGTCAGGAGGCCAGGATGCTGTCTGTTTTGGGGGTCTGAGCTCCACGTGGCCCCGGCTCTGAGTCCCAGCTGGGCCTGAGGCTGCGGCAGCCTGACGTGGGGCTCTTGGCTCCACGGCAGCCGGCTCGCCGCTGGGTGGCCGGCACGTCCTTGACACAGAAAGCAGAACCGACAGGCAGCCCCCACTCTCTCCCGTCACTGGGGCCCCTTGAGCCCCATGGGAAAGCCACAGGGTGGTGACGGGGTCCCCGGGCAGTGCGGCTGTCCACTCTCCCACCCTGCCCACCTGCCCAGCCCCCATCGCCTCCACGACCCCGGGAGATGCTGGGGACCGGCCGAGGCTGGGAGTTGAAGACGCTGGGGACACTCTCGCTGTGGGGTGCCAGTGACTCCAGTGACCCGGCTTGATGGACCCCTCGCCGCTGTCTTCCCCAGCTCCCTTTCCCTGTCAGGAATGGGCCTCAGCTCTTCGCACCCCGCCCCTCAGAGGGCTGCCCATGAGCTCAGACGGGCTCTCACCTGGGACCTGGCCACGGGCCGAGAGGGGTGTTAGGGTCAGACCCCTGAGTCTGAGCACCACCACCGTCCGCCCAGAGGGGATACAGGGTCAGGGCACCTCACGCCTCAGGGCAGGAGGGGCTGTGCTGGGCAGCCTGTGCTCCCCCCAGGGCAGGGAGCCGGGCCTGGAAAATCTGCCCCGAGGCCCCTTGGGGGGTGGGGGCCAAAGTTGGGGCTGTCCTTGGGTTTTCCCAGGGCTCAGTGCCAGTGTGCAGAGGCCACACAGGGAGGTGGACAATGGTCCCCTCTGGCCTGGCCCCGTGGGCTCCAGTTTCCTAATCCCTGGTCCTGCTGGCCGGGGCCACACACTCAGCTTCCCCCACGTGCCCACGTCCTGGCAGGGAGTGCAGACTCGGGGCCTGGTGCTGGTGGGCACTGCAGGGGGCCAGGAGGGGCTTCTTCCCAGGCCCTGGCTCCTCGCCATCCTCGTCCCTGACGTCTCTGCAGGGCGGGGACCCCTGTGAGCCCTGAGTGGGAGGTGCAGCTGGAGGGCTGGCAAGGCTCCCCGACCTGGCTCAGCCCAGGTGAGGGCTCCAGCTCCAGGGGGTCACCACCTCTTTGGGGGAGCCTGGTCTGAGAAGCAGGTCAGCCAGGGAAAGAGGCTTGGTGCCTCAGGCCCCGAGTCTCCATAACTCTTGGGGTGAGACCTCCCCTCGGCCATCATGCTGCCAGCACGTCCCCCTCCCCTTGGGCCAAAGCCGTAAACCCAACTCAGGGCCGGGCTCTATTTTCAGGAGGAGAAAAATGTAGAGGGGGGGAGGGCCCCCAGACCTCAGTTTACCCACTGGCGACACCTGCCTGTGTCCTCCCGGGCCGGGGCGAGCACTGGTGTGCCCAGTGGTCTCACGGTTTGTGTCGCTGTGAGCTCCGGTTCTCCAGGCTTTTCCACACACCTGCTGGGCTCGGAGGGTGAGACTGAGACTCATCAGAGGCCCAAGCCTCAGGGGCCTGACCCCCACCCCGAGTGAGAGGTGGCTCTGGGGAGCATGGGCAGGCTGTTCCCCTCTCAGCCCTCAGCCCTGAGGTCCCCAGGAGAAGGGACAGATGGCCACTTCCGGCCACCAGCTGGCTCCCCACGTGCCGGATTCTGTAACGTTTCCCCTGGCTGAGTGGGTACCCCTCAAGTTCCAATTACATGTAATTGCAGAGAGACTGGCTCAGCCTGGGAAAAGGATGGGCTTAGAGGGTGGTGGGGGTGCTGGGGCCTCTGACACGGCTCTGTGAGCCCCGCCAAACGTCCCATGCAAGTCGGTGGGCCCCCCCGGACCCCAAAGGATCCCACATCCTCCCTGTCCTCGGGGAGGCCCCTTTCTGGGTCAGGCCTGGAAGCTGCCGCAGGGCTTGGGCCCCAGAAAGGGCTTGGTCTTCCCAGGGTAACGTGAGCCTGATCAGACCTGGGACCGGCTCGGCGGGGGCCTGGGGAACTGTTGGGGGGCTACGGAGCCTGACCAGACATTCTTCTGGCAGGACGCCCCTCCCCCAGCTACGCTGGGCTCATCCCGTTTGTAGCTGGACGTGTTCTCTGGGTGTGTGTTGGCATTCGGGCTGCAGGGCTGCCGCTTCCTGAAGAAGGCTGCGTTTACCCGGGAAGCCATAAAGAGATGACCTCCGATAACCTGAACCAACATTTCCCCACGGCTCGGGCCCCCACAGCTGTCTTCTTGATCATCTGGCAAACGCCACACCCACCCCTTGGCCCTCCTCTACCTTCCCGCCCTCCCACTCCTGCTGGGGCATATAAGGCCGGGACCCCTGTGCCCGGGCGCAACCCACACCGCCCCTCCCAGCCACCATGGGGCTGCCACTAGCCTGCCTGGCAGCCGTCTGCCTGGCCCTGTCTGTGGCCGGGGGCTCGGAGCTCCAGACAGGTGAGAGGGCAGAGTGTCCTGGGGCCAGGGCTTCGGGGCAGGCCAGTCGCACCTGAGAGGCGGAGGTGGCCCCGAGTGTCTCCTAGCAGTCTGGGTGGCTCAGCTGAGGCTCTGGGCCTGGTGGGCCCTCTGCAGCCCCCAGCACTGCTGACTTTCCTGGGGCTGGAAGGACGGGGTTCCCCTGCCATTCCTCTGGGGTTGACTGCCCAACAACACTGTGGGTCCCCAGGCCAGCACCAGGCGGAAACAGCAGCCCATGCCCCAGTGAGCTGGGTCATTGTCTGTCGGGGAGGGAAGGGTGGCCAGGACCCCACCAGGAGGCCCCCTTCTCAGATGGCAGAGACCCCGGAAGGGTGGAGGCTGCGTAGCCCTTACCGGGGTGCCCAGACCCCCTCCCCTACACCCTGCTTGGCACCCGGCCTCACTCCTCGCTGGGTGAGGCGGGGGTAGAAGGCCTGAGACCCCCGGGGTGGGGCGACCTGTCCTGGCCGGGGCCTGCGCTGGGCTCGAAGCTGCTTCCAGGTCTCCGGTGGAGACCCCTCCTGAGGGCAGCGTGGGCAGCCTTCCCCGGCCGGCACCACTCACCCCTCGACCCCCCGCTGCTCCCTCAGAGGGCAGAGCCCGAGACCACGGCCACAGCGTCTGCAGCGCTTGGGGTGACTTCCACTACAAGACCTTCGACGGCGACGTCTTCCGCTTCCCCGGCCTCTGCGACTACAACTTTGCCTCCGACTGCAGAGGCTCCTACAAGGAGTTCGCCGTGCACCTGAAGCGGGGCCCGGGCCAGGCCGGGGCGCCCCCCCAGGTGGAGTCCATCCTGCTGACCATCAAGGACGACGCCATCTACCTCACCCGCCACCTGGCCGTGCTGAATGGGGCCGTGTGAGTGTGGCGGGCGGCGCCTCGCCCACATCCAGCAAAGGGGTGTCGACGGCTCCCGCAGGGGTCTCCCTCATCGTGCCCTTCTGCCCCAGCACACAGCTTAGGAGAATAGCCTTGCAGTTTGGGTTCAGGTCACTAATTCATTCAACAAACCCTGATGAGCCCCCACCATTCCCCCACAGGCAAAGGGTTTTAGTTACCCCTTTCCTGTGTGTCCCGGACACCTCCTCCCCTCGGAGGAGCCCGCCAGTCTCGGGCGGCCTCGGCACCCCTGGAGGCTCCTGTCTCTGGTTGTGGGCACGGAGTGGCTGTGTGCTCCGTCCCCAGGCTAGAGGGACAGAAGCGGGTGCCAGGGGCTATGGGGGGCTGTGGGGGGCTGTGGGGGGCTGTGGGAGCCCCTCCCCACCCCCAGCTATGGTTGTGCTGTTGTCGCCCGAACAATGAGGCCCTGTGGGTGCGTTCCTGTCCAGCGGGTTCCCCACCGGCAAGACTTGCCCTTCTTCAGCCCCGGAGATTCAGTTCTCTGCAAGGAGCTCCAGTGTGGGCCAGGGTGGGAGGGTGGAGACCCTTAGGTGTGAGCGTGGGTGGGAGGGTGGAGACCCTCAGGTGTGGGCGTGGGTGGGAG